AAAAATCCCCTTACCTGAGATGAATGGTTAGTTAAATATAGAAATCTCCTGCCAGAAGTATACTACTAAACTAGATCATTGGTATACTGAATTAATCGGTAAATTTTGAGTTGGTATTGGCAACAGATATCGAGTCAAAGAGTTCTTGAATATCATTAGCTGATGATGAAGAGCATTGAACCTCTGGTTCTTCTGGTTTATATGGCGGAAGTATTGGAGTCCCTGCTTTATTGAAACCAGTTCCGCCGTATGGTTCACGATCAATCCAATAAGTACGTTTCCACTTCACTGATCTTTTGGTCCTGAAAGTTTTGCTTCACTCTTAACAGTATAACCGCACCAATTTTCTGCTATTGCATTAATCAATTTTACTGTAGCCTTGAGATCAGGAGTTCCTTTTGCCCAAGATTTAAATCCAAAGAATAATGGTGCATCTTCTCGAATTTTAACAATTTTTTCCCGTGATTGCTCAAAAGTCTTAGCCACATCATTGCCAGAAAGAATCTTTGTATCGTCAATGCCACTGAATCCTACTGATTGGAAAAGATCACGTACTGCTTCCCATTGTTTTGCTGAATAAAATTTATGTAAATCGTTTGAGGCCGGATCCATAGAATCTTGTGATTCTTCCCATTGTATTGCTTCTTTGATTTTCAGATTTTCCAAAGCCTTCACTTCATCTGAACCTTGTCTTCGATAATAAGCAAGTCTTCTGAAATGTTTTATAGGTTCAGGATCATTGAATCTTTCTACAAAATCTATGTTACAAAGTTTAGTCCAGCCGGTATTATCCATACCCCAATCTCAAATATCATCTTTACCTCCAATATCACCTGAAGCATAAGTCTTCCATAAATAATGGCATTGTAAAGTCATATTATCGGCAAATGAACATGTAGGAATTTGCTTAATAATTTCAGCATCATTAGGACTAATATCTGGGGCATCAGCTATTAATTCCGCATCAGCAGTTTCGATTTTTTTCGCAACTTTCTTGATTGTATTAGATACTTCTACACGAGTAGCTTTGGCCAAGCTGGTGTCTTCTAATGTAATTAACTCGAGAGATGCTCCGGTACTTATTGCATTAATCAATTTTACTGTAGCCTTGAGATCAGGAGTTCCTTTTGCCCAAGATTTAAATCCAAAGAATAATGGTGCATCTTCTCGAATTTTAACAATTTTTTCCCGTGATTGCTCAAAAGTCTTAGCCACATCATTGCCAGAAAGAATCTTTGTATCGTCAATGCCACTGAATCCTACTGATTGGAAAAGATCACGTACTGCTTCCCATTGTTTTGCTGAATAAAATTTATGTAAATCGTTTGAGGCCGGATCCATAGAATCTTGTGATTCTTCCCATTGTATTGCTTCTTTGATTTTCAGATTTTCCAAAGCCTTCACTTCATCTGAACCTTGTCTTCGATAATAAGCAAGTCTTCTGAAATGTTTTATAGGTTCAGGATCATTGAATCTTTCTACAAAATCTATGTTACAAAGTTTAGTCCAGCCGGTATTATCCATACCCCAATCTCAAATATCATCTTTACCTCCAATATCACCTGAAGCATAAGTCTTCCATAAATAATGGCATTGTAAAGTCATATTATCGGCAAATGAACATGTAGGAATTTGCTTAATAATTTCAGCATCATTAGGACTAATATCTGGGGCATCAGCTATTAATTCCGCATCAGCAGTTTCGATTTTTTTCGCAACTTTCTTGATTGTATTAGATACTTCTACACGAGTAGCTTTGGCCAAGCTGGTGTCTTCTAATGTAATTAACTCGAGAGATGCTCCGGTACTAGCAATAAGACTACAAAGAATTTCCGGAAAATATTTGGCTGATAAACGTCTCTGATATTCAACCTCTATATAAGTCTCTACTGCTGGAGATGAATCAAGTGCATAACAATCGGCAATTTTATCCCATTCACGGTGGCCTTTTACTATAGTTGGCAAATTACCAGGCCTTAAAGCAGAAAGTTCAGCGCGAATAAGTTCCCGACATGGTTCTTTGAAAATACCAGGTTTTTTGCTATGATAAAGAGAAACCATGCGCAATGGGCAGTCACGAATTCTGAACAACATCTGAGCAAATGCTTCAACATGAACTGGAGTGGCGATATTAGTAATTCCTATAACTGCATCAAAATAGCCAGAGATTTCAAAGGAGATGCCAGCTTCCACGGTGCTTGTATAAACTACACAGTCAAGAGTACTCCAAACAGCATCAATGTTAGCGAAATCATCTTGGCGTTGCTTCCCATCCATTTGGCCAAAATAAACTCGGGATAAAACGGGCGAACCATCAGGTTTTTGCAACTTAGATGCTTGATCAGCCAAGGCTTGAGCTTTTTTACAGGATGTCATAACAAATGCAACATGCTTACCCTCTTTGAGCATTCTAAGACCTCTACGTATAGCCTCTGAACCTTTATCTGGATCGTAAAGAAGTTTAATAATCTCACCTCTACGTGGTTGGTATTTGTTATCAATAACTCGAATATTCTTGCCTCGATAAGCTTTGAGAAAGGCTAGTGTTGACTTGTTTGCGAAGGCGTCCATGGCAACAACGTGAGTAGCTGAATTTAACAAATCACGCATAGCATTGGATGATTCTCGAGCGTGAATCCCACTAGACATTTGACGCATAATTGCATTGGCTTCATCTAAAATTGCTATACAGGAACGACCCCCTTGAAAATCAAGACGAAGAACACTTTCAACCTGTACAATAATTAGATCCCACTCACGTGTTTTTAGGTCAGCTACAATATTTTGATATTGCCCTACTCTGAATTCGAATTTTTCCAATTCTTTAAGTTTGGCTTCAGATTCATTGCTGAGAGTTTTGCGATATGATACCCAGATAGTACAAGGTAAATTGGCACCACTTTGAGCTAAAGATGCCAAAATTTTTCTTAATGTTTTCGTTTTTCCAGTACCCACAGAAGATCGAATAAGAGTAGTGCTAGGCTCTTCACTTAAAAAGTCTGGAAAAGCATCCAGGGCATCCTCCATTTCTTTTATATTAATACTTTCTCCAGGTAATTCGGGAAATTGATGTGGAGTTGATACAGCCTTGGGTAATCTTTCAATCAATCCCCATTTCTTAGGCTTTTCTTTCGACTCGACTTTGTCTGACACCTTATCAAAGCCCAGTCCCTTGTGATCTGGCTTGTATTGTTTTCCTCGATAACACTTAAGTATAAAATGCCCATTTTTTCGAAGAAATCCATATAGCTGATTTTTTTCATGTTTAACCTCACATACCAGGCCTGAGCTTGAAGTGCTTATGGTCATTATGGTGGGGGTGAAGATGAGGAACTTTGGAGTTTTTTCCGAGAATTAACGGTTGAAATTTTAATAAAAGATACTGCTAATGCGGATAGTGAGAAATTAACCGATAGGGCATTCATTAGACAATTGTGCTTGGAAGTTGATGAACCCTTTCCCGATAGTTCCAATCTTGAGCCACTCATATTTTGCAATAACCAAATTAGCTCCTTTAATCAAAGCATTTTCATCTTCGACAGGTTGGAATTCCTCTACTGCCGGTTTCTCTGAAGAAAAAGTGCGTGGCCAGATTACAGAAGGATTCGCTCTAGGCTGAACTAAATAATTCTCTAGTTGGCGAAAACCATTCTTAACTGAAGACAATGCCGGTCTTTTGACTCTATCTTTCTTTGCCGATCCAAGAAGGCGAAGACTAAAACGAGATTTGGGGAGGCCAACATCAATGAATTTTGAGTAAGGTTTTCCAACTAATTCGATAACCTTTTCTGTAAAGCCCCTAAGTTCTCTATAATCAACAAACTGAGCATATGGATAAATAATATGCCAGCTACATTTATCAACATTCGATGAACTGGCTAGAGCAAAATGATGCAAAGTTGGCATAAGACCTGGTATGAGAAATAATGCATCTGCACATGCAATTAGAATTCGAGCCATTAAATCTTCGCGAGCAATATTTTCACCATCTAAAGAAGGAAGTTCTGGATTTGTAGGATCTGGTTTTTGCCTTGCATCAATATCTAATACAGGACGAAGGGGCTGTTTTCCATCAATACATTCATGTGTATCAGGTATTCCATAAATTTCGGAAGGATGATCTATTGCTGTAAAGCCTTTTCCTGCGACCCGAATTATATATCGAGAATTAATCTCTTCTGGATGATATGCTTCCAAGAGTGCTATATTCTTTGCATCATCTTCCGAATCATCTTCTGAAGTAAGTGCACTCTGTCCATTAGATGGAAGTAAATATTTAAAATACATATGTTCTCCTCTATAACCAGTTTCATACTCAAGATCCGTTAAACCTGCGAAAAGACTTTTTGCCTCACTGACTTCAGCCAATTTTTGACTTTGGTGCTGTTGTTGAAATAATTCATATAGACGTTTTTTTTCCTTGCTAGACAGACTCATTTATTGATTTGTATATGTGGTGTTGTTTGTATATGCGCGTTGTTTGATCTGACAAAAAGTATATGTAGTATTATTTTGAAACTATATTAATCGATAGATAAATCTTTAAAATAAAATTAATTATTATATATAGTTATGATGATATTATACCATTGCTCATATATTCATAGAACTGGAGAATTCTGTGGTCGAGGTAGTAAATCAGAAAGATGTTATATGCATCATAAATCTCCAGTATATACTCCTTGTAGAGATTGTGGTGTGCTAAATAGGTCTAAATACAATGCATGCGATGATCATGTAGGCAAGTATAAAAGTAGAGAGAAATATCAACAAAAAAAGCAGGCTGAATTACATGCAATGATTGATGTACTTAAGAATAGTATACCGGACTTGCCAGGTTCTGGGTACGAACTATAGTCTAGGTTTATTACTTTTTCATCCATGGATAAGGCAGTCATATCTCCTGAGATCTAGAGCATTGTGTACTCCGCGAAGCATTACCGAAGGGGCGGGTAATTAATTTCAATTTGAATGAATAAGTATGTCAATATATTATCAATATGATCGTGGCAACTGCCTCAAAAACCCGAAAGCCCAGAACTAATAACTTTACCTCGATTTTGGACCTGTTCCTAGAAAAATATAACTTGTCCACCGAATCTAGCCCATCTCAATTACGTGTCTATGCTAGTGAACTCGGTGCCATGTTACCAGATTGGAAAGCTCGCAAAAGTGTGAAAGAAGCTCTTCGCCAACGCTTATTCAAAGAAGACCAGATCAAGGCTCTTGTACCCGATAAAAGGAATGAAAAACTTACTATCAAAGAGAGAGCTCAATACTGTGCGAAATCTGGAGATCCATATGATATTTACTTACATGCTTTAGATTTAATCAAGACAAAAAATGATAGTGATGAAGAAATTGTCGCATCCAGCTCACGTCTTACATTATTTCGTAAGGAATTGAAAGAAGCTGGAGTTGATTCTAAAGTAATTGATAAATATGCTAAATTTTCAGATCTTACTCAAGCATCTAACGAAATTCAGAAGAAGCAACTTGTACAGCGATTACCCAATGCTCCTAAAACCCCTAAACACTTCTCCTTAGAGGAGGGACTTAGAAGAATTCAAAATATTGATACTACTAAAATTCCCACTATGCAGGATCTTGCGGATGTGATTATGATGTTGAGCATGAGACCCACTGAAGTTACTACTCTTCATATTATCCATTGTGAACCCAATGAATCAGACCCTCCGGAATGGTACAAACCCGGTTATTATTGGTATTGTACAGGATATGTTAAGAATAAGGGAGAAAAGAAGGTTGATCCTGAGCCTCGACAATTCCTTTCCATGGAAAAGAATCCAGAACGTGCAAGAGAATTGCTTACTTGGATTCAAGATGCCATAGCAACCAGAAAGTTACATGATCCTGTATATAGTGATAATGGAAAACGCAATATTAGAGTATTTAGCAAATTTTTAAATGCATATGGTATTACCGCCAAAAGATTGAGAAAAATAGGGAGTAAACATGCTTCTAGAGTTCATGGTAGTCGAAATCCAACAGTCCAACATCTTAGTTTACTTTGTAGAATTGCAATGAGACATAAGATTGACCGTTTTGATTCCGGAACTTATTATGCTGAGGGTGATACTTCTTCTGATTCTGATACCAATCCTGATACTAATACTGAACCCGAACCTAAATCTCAGCCTAAGAATAATGATCTTTCGAAGGAAGTGCACAGAGAGCATTATATTCCTTTTGTTACCCAAATTGCGGAAATAGATTTGATGTTAGCAGAAATGTGATCCGATTCAACTTGGAATCAAAAAGACCTATAAAGCTATTATATCAGGACTTATTGATATCGGCAAATTTTTTCTTGGTTACTCATCATGGATTGCGGGTAATAGTAGATATAATGGAAATAGATAAATAATCGTTAGTTATTTTTTTTGGCTAGAGATATTTCCGAATTGGCAATCAGAACGAGCTGTAATCAAGAATATAAGCAAACCCAGATGCAAAGATTTCAGAGCTTTTAATGATAACCTATGTGCAGTTCATTTAGGTAAGGAAAAAGTACTGCTGAATAAACCAATATATGTAGGCTCTGCAGTATTGGATCTAAGTAAGCTCTGGATGTACCAGTATTGGTACGATTATATTAGATGCAATAACATCCTCACTTTGTGAGACTACAGGAGATAGGCTACCAATATTAGGGACGCTCCATAAAATAAATCCCTCTTTTCAATCCAAAAATAATGAATCAAAGCAAGTAAAAGTTACCAATGTTTTTGTTACCAATGAAACTGGACTTCCCAAATAAAACTCTTACATTGCTCGATGGAACTAGTTATGAGGTTAAGTACAATTGAGAATATCTGGATAATGCATAATATATCCACCTAAAATTAATTATCCGAACATTAGTTGTTTTTTTCGATTAAAGATATATAATATACAATTTGAGAATGGCGCAACTATTGCGGAGCAATGACCCAAAGGGTCTAAATATTTTTGATTTACCCGAATTACTTGAAATTATTTTCTCATATCTAGCAAAAGATAAATCGCTTTACCCAACTCTCTTAGTTAATAGGCTTTGGTACCACTGTTCCGCTCCTATTCTATGGCGACGCGTTGAGTTTTTTACAGAAAAAGATTATCAGAGAGGTCGGCGTGGTCGTAAGATGCCTCGAGTTCTTACTCAGCAATTGATAAATTTTAAAAAAGTCATGTGTGGAAAGATAAAGCCAACCTATTGCGCCAAGATGATATATCTCAGATTGGAAGGTTTAAAAATCAAAGATGCGTTGATTAGTACGATTCTACGCTCGTGCCCAGATATACGCACTCTTATTCTTGATCGAAGTGATGGTTTCTCTAACATACCAATTATAGAAATTGCGAGATATTGTCCAAAGCTATTACATCTAAGTCTTAATTCGTGCATATGTCTCACTGATCGATGTATTACTGAAATAACACGTTCTTGCCCGAAACTTAAACATCTTGAGCTTGGTGATTGCTCGATTAATAATAAAGCTGTCGAGGAAATAGCCCGCAACTGTACTAATTTGAAATATCTTAGTTTGGAAGGATGTAATGGGATTAGCGAAGAAGCGATGAAAAAACTTAATTCTAAAATTAGCGTGAGCAAGCCTTCGGCTAAAATCAAACATCCGGATTATTCTGATGATGAATTCTCGGATTCTGATCTACCTCCACTTGTTCCAGATCCATTAAGGGTATCTCGAAGCGTTATCTTTACCGGTGGACAAAATAGAATGGTTTTAACTAATACAATAATTGTAACAGATCTTATTTCTGAAATTAGAGTATCATCATCATTGACTGATTCAGATCCGGATTTTGATGGACCTATCATTTACATTCTAAAATAATAGTATACAACTATTTAGTCG